CTTTCTTTCTCCACAACATTTGTAGAACATTTAGCTGCGGAGAATTTAAAATGTGATGGCAAAGGAGATCATACTTCTTTCAAATCGATCATGTTTAACCTGTCAAGTATACGGCTAACACACACTTGCCCTTACTCAATCATAGCTTCTTCTCTTCAAAATTCCTATAAATATTCATGCATAATATTCTCTTTGACTCCCCCATATTCTTCATCTTAAATGCAAACTTGAGCTGACTCTTGCATTCATCGACATCAATATTTGCCAAGATGAGCATGTCGTCAACGTAAACTTCTAAAATGATAAGATTGAACGTTTCATCATTCATATTCTTCATGTAGACACAAGGATCATACATGCTTAGTAGAAAACCTTGTGCATTCATAAACTCATCAAAACGTGTATTTCATTGCCTAAACGCTTGTTTAAGTCCTAACATTGATTTTAGCAATCTACAAACCAACCTCTCATGGCCTTTGACCTTAAAGCCAACTAGTTGTTTTATGTAGATCTACTACTCCAAATATCCATAAAGAAAGGCCGTAATCACATCCATTATGTGCATAACAAGACTGAATATTGTGGCCAGTGCACATCTTAGACAAATTGTAGCATACTTTGCAACAATCTAAAAAACTTCGTTATAATATACACTCTTTGACTCTGTGAAACCTCTAGTCACCAACCTGGCTTTGAAGATTCTTGGCTCATCTCCTACTAAATTGTCTTTCAACTTGTATAGCCACTTGAAGTCAATCAGTGTTTGATCTTTATGAAGCTCAACGAACTCCCAAGTCATGTTGTTGATCAGTGATTGCATCTTCCGCTCCATAGCAGCATTACACTTAAGCTTGTTGATCAAAGCTTGAGTTTTCCTATATGAAGAAGATTCATTTTTTTCCAAAATCAATGCCATATCATCCTCATACTCAAAATCAAGGTCACGATCTTTGAGAATGAATGAGTTGGCCCCATACACCAAATATCTCAAGAGCTCTACTATGACGTTATGACGTTTTTGTTTGATCTTTCTTGTCTGAACTGTTGCAATAGACTCACCAACAATAGCTTGGTTTTGTAGTTGCTATTGCTCAAAAACTTGCTCCACATGCATCGATGCTTTGTCATTTGACAGATCATTAGTGATGGAATGATCAAACTTCTCCACAAATACAAGGAGATAAGATCTTATCTCCACCATCCATCCCACTCCAAGTGGATGGATGGCGTGGTGAATAATCCTAACAAGCACACGGATTGCTGACGTGGCGTTGTTAACTGACACTTCTACTCTCCACCTACCAAGAGCGCGGATCCTTGACGTGGTAGCTATGACTAGTGCACGCTAAAGTATCTATATCAACATTTAAAATAACCCCTATTTTAGTTTTAACTCGTTAAATATGGTTACAATCACAGACTAATTTGAGTAGAATCTCTTTGACTGTGACTAGATTTATCATGCCAAAACGTCTAAGTAGAGAGCTTTTTGCTGGCACAAATATGATTAATTCAAATGATAATCCAGTATAGTGAATTGATTGATAATTAGATTTCGTGATTAGATTTGCTCTTTTCACAGTTGTCTAACATCTTATTACAGTTTTTTCCGCTCAACAGCATTATCACTTGTTTTTTTGTCTGCATGAGATATATTTTTTGTGCAATTTTTCTTAGAATAGTTTCTGGCCCAAGTTTCTTCTAGTAAGATGCACGCCTAGAAAATGTATGCAGCTTGCGAACATTCTCAACGTAATTTTCTCACGGAGTACTTTTTTTTCCCCTTGATGAGATTATGTTGGATTGGATGTAGTATTTACTTCTGATCAATCACTCGGTTTTGGCTATCTTGTATTGTGTGAACAATTCGTTGATTGCAGTATGTTTTTACACTCCATCACGAGCTTTTGTCTTTTGTGCCACAATGTAACAATATGTTAATTAGCATTTTTATACAAAGGCTTTGTATAAAAATGGATCGATGTTGATCACGATTGAAAAGTACTTATCAAGATTATGATCATACGACACAATCTATTTTGCAAATTGAATAGGTTAAATTACATGATATTTTTGAAGAATCTCCGTGAAATATTGTGTAATTTGGTTAGTGTATGTTTGGACTTCAATGATCTTCTAAATCTAGAACTAGTATCATTCATGATTCTTTTTTCACTATACGTTTTTAATATTCATGTAAACAACGTTATATTTGAAGTACATATCAAACAAGCCATTATATTAGAAAAGATCAGTTTTCACTTAGTCTTCATGGAGAGCTCCTTGTACATATCAAACAAGCCATTATATTAGAAAAGATCAGTTTTCACTTAGTCTTCATGGAGAGCTCCTTGTATGTCAGGTATGGTATATAACTGTCACTATTGATAAAACGTCGGACTTTTATGATCACACAATCACAACAAACCTTACAATAGATTCTACGCAAAAAATACGTTGTTATCTTGAAGCTTCGTACACAAAAGCACAAAAGGTTATAACCAATAAATAAAAAGTTGTGTCATCAAAAATTACAACCCCCAATCTTATATAATTCAAATTAATACTAGTCATTCTTACAAGGGTTACAAGGAATTGAGTTAAGAAGATCAAAATCAAGTTGTTACATATATTGCTTAATAAACTATCTAGCATTTTTTTGCATAATTTTTACTTCTTTTATGTCCTTATCATACTTGAAGATGTTTGATAAATGGATGTTGGGATCCATTTGTAAAAAAAAAAGAAAAAAGTATGTGATATGAATTTTACGTAAAAATTTTCATAATTGTTTCAATTTTATAAATTGAAACAAATTTATTAAAGTGAGATAGTTTGATAATTGAAGTTGTGGTTTTTACTGTGCATTTTTAGCCAACTATACAATCTACACATCTTTGTTATCTTTGCATTTTATATTGTAAATAGACTCAAAATATATGCTGGAGATGTATTAACAGATGAATTTTTTTAACATCTATTATTGTGTTATATGACAAAAGTTTTCATCATGGAGTTACGACATGAGACTTTGTTTCTCTTTCATGTTTAGCATTATCAAGAATTGGACTGGATTTTCATAAACTGAAGGTTTGAAGAGTGTACATATATATTTAGTTTTAAGGGTATTAAGTAATTTTTATGCTAAAATATCAATAATATAGTCTCGCTCTTGTAAAAGTTATGCTAGTCAATCGTGTGTTTCACGCATGATTGACACATTAGGATTGTCTCATTAACACATTGTGCTACAAATTTGGTTACTATTATTTTTTCTATCATGATGGAACGATATAGTTAATTATCATTAAAATTATTAATTATTAAATTAGAGAATTTTTACATCATTTTGTGATTGAAACCAATAAATATTCTTAAATTTTTTTTCAAAAATATGATTACGTACTGTTGATGGTTAAAAAAGTTTCACTCAAGTGAAGATTTAAACAATTCTTGAAATTTCTGCCACAGGTATTGATTTGAGAAGAAATTTATTTGTAGTTATGATTATAGTATTATCTGACAGTTTATATCAATAGTTCAAGAATAATGTATAATTATTCTTAAACAATTTATTTCCATGTAATTTACAATCAGCTTGTGTTGTTAAATATATGCTGCAGGAATGATGAAAATTGCTGTCAGATTTAATTTCTTTATCTCAACGTAAATAATAGGTTATTGCCTAGAATCCAATGTCATATTTTGCATTCTGAATGCTTTGAAAATTATTTTAGATCATTTAATATGAGATGCCTAACTACCATAATAAATCTCTAATATGATGAAAACAAAGAGATTTACTTGCCTACTACAATCTTCATCTTCGAAAATTACGACAAAACTTGTAGGTTAAACTTTCTCTAACAATAACATGTGTGTTAGCATAGCGTATCATGTGATTAGCTTTCGATGAAAAGTATCATTAACCATCTTTTTCTCATGCCTGACTGTGTTTCTGTTCACCATACGTCGTTCCAGTTGCCAACTAGCATTGTTGTTGCTTTTGTTTTCCTCAGAAAGCAAAATGCCTGTGCAAATTTTGTTTTTTCTTTCTGCAGATGCAGAGTGGATAATAAGACATGTTGAGATTTGATTGTGGTGACTATTCAGATTTTAGCAGTATATGAATGGAATAAAAAACATCATCATCATCATGTACCATCATGCTATATACAATTAAAATCACCACCAGGCAGAAACCAGCTTATTTCATTCTTGTCATTTGACAACCTTCCCAATCAATTAACTCCTCTCTGCGTGAGGATGTTTACACGTAGGCCATTTGCATCCAAATGACAGACGATGACTACAAGTAAAACATCTGCAGTGGGTTTGGGTTGATACAGATGTATATATGCATCTTCGTGTTTTTTTCTACGTAATTGGTTTCTGTACACGCTTCGCAATTTTGATTACAGGCGCAGGTGTCGTTTTTTTAGCCGAGAAGAGGAACGTTCGAAATACAGCTTCTTTAAGTTAACTGCAACTTGAGCTTTGTTTCTATCGGATATTTTTGTCTCGTTATCTCTCTCACTTGCTGCAGGACAGCGCGTTAGACACATTTATATTCTGACAAGAGCATGTAATTTAGTTATCCTGTATTCATCGTAGCAGCGATTTTCAAAAACAATTATCCACGCTTTTATTTAGTTAGATAACATATTTGCCTGTCAACTATTTGGATTGATTCTGATTTTAATTGAAGATTTAATTCAAATTATACGGCTGCACAGAGTGTATCGTCACTCAGAGTCGCAGGCTGCAATTATCATCTTCAAGAGGAGATGAGGAGCAAATCGAACAGTGACACAATCACAAGTCAATCAGGTTTCATCATCTATGAAAACTGCAACAGACTTCCCAGCGATTAGCATAAACACAGTAGATTGGCATCACCCACTAGCCCGGCAGACACAGCTCAGCTTCTACAAGGCTCACCCGGATCGGCTGACAGAGCGAACAAGTATAATTCCTAAAACTAGTAGGACAACATAAATGCATGCCTTCCAAAATATATCCATGTGTGGTGAGGGTAAGTGAATGAAGATGAGTAACATGATGTTATTTGCTGCACCAATGCAGCGTTGGATTTCACTATTTACTGTTCTCGACCTAGAACAACCACAAAATTGTGCAATTGTGCCGTACAGGCTGGACGACACATTAAATTGTTCCCTGCATTATTACAAGTTAACTAACTCATAGTAAGCCTGTCTCCTATTACGGTGAACCTGGGTCATATCTACTTTAAATGGCGGCAAAGTACTCCTTGCTCAGCTTTGAGTCGGGCTTCATTGTCTTTTCACCTGGCTTCCAGCCGGCAGGGCATACCTCATCGGGGTTCTCCTGCACGTATTGTACAGCCTGACAGAGAAAATAAGTTAGTTTCCCATAATGTACATGTAAAGTGATCTACAGTTCAATCTAAAACCGAGAGCACCTGAATTCGAAGACCAAAATTAGACTTCAAACCTGCAGGGTTCGAAGAGTTTCTTCAACGCTCCTGCCAATAGCCAAGTTGTTGATAGTCGCATGCTGAATAACACCTTCCTTGTCGATGATGAACAATCCTCGTAGAGCAATACCCTAAGACATGACGTAGTGAGGCTTCAGGAATTAATCGGAATTCGGCCGATGTATGTGTAGATCATACGTAGTCCTGGTTAATGTAAATTGCACAAACCATTCTCTACAACAATTGAATGGGATGTGTGATAAGTGGGCGTTCAACAGGAGAGGAGGTATCCTTTGTTCTGTCAGACATATGAGCAGGGGTGCGGGGAGACTTCGAGAACCCATAATCAAGATGTGTTCATGTGTGGGTGTGATAACCGTTTGGGATGGTGACTGAGGTTGAGTACTTAAAATACGGGAGGCGGACCATCGGCAGTCTCGTTGAAGCTGTAAGGCATGAGAGGGTAGTCTTTAAGGATGAGATATTTGGCTGTTTATTGTCTACCTGACTTGGTCCGCTATGGGCGGTTACAGTTTTTTCCACACTCTTCCTTGAGTTTTGATCTTTCATTTGAATTTCCCACATTCTCTGTGGAACATAATCATAACATCAATCTCCATCCATAAAAATGGGACCTATGGTCAAAGAAGCTTGGATCTCGGTATGATTGACATATATATAACGCACCTGGTCGGGAATCAAAACTCCGAAGTCCTTAGATATCTTCTTCGTCAGGTCAGACACCAGTGGGTAGTTCAAATCTCCGAGGCCTCCAGCCTTCCTGTCGGTTTGGATCCATGCAAGATGGGAAAACTGTTCACAACAGGAGTTTTAACCACAGGTCATTCTCGACAATTACATGAACGTTGGGGTTCCGGGTTGACGATTCCATAAAGTTAGATCCAGGGTATAAAAGACAGATTGTATATGACATACTTACCACGCTGTCAGTAGAAACGCCGATGACTTCGGTGTTCAATTTCTCGAACTCGGCATGCTTGTCGCTGAAAGCAGTGATTTCTGAATTGGAAGGAAGAAACTATTTAGTACTCAAGAGATTCATTCTCGACAGCAGTACTTTGTTTGTGCCTTATGATCATAATCTCGACAGAGATATATACACATTTATAGAAAAACCACTTGTCCGTAAGGAGGAGTTAGGATGCGTCCACATGCCCTCAGAAACACACTGGAAAAGTATTGCTTGCCTGACAGATTGAAAGAAAATCAATAGGAAATTCGCAAACGTAGAGATAATCACGAATCGACAACTACTCGGGAGACAAATGGTAACTCATTCACACGTGCGACACGAGAGAGAATTTTCAAAAGAAACCTACGCCTCACCCGTTGGGCAAACGAAGGTGAAGTCCAATGGGTAGAAGAAGAGAACAACATATTTCTTTCCGATGTATTCCGAAAGTTTGATCTGAATGCACACGGTTAAAAAGCTTCAGCATCTCTGTGCAAGCAACCGTTACAATGACAGGTCTTACATTAACCAAATGTAGTTGATTTTGTTCAAGGTCAAAACTTTATACCATCAAATCACAGAAGAAGCCAAAACGCAGTCCTTCCTAAAACACGTCCTGCGAGTGGAAGAATACAGAGGAAACTATATCGCTGCCAGTTATAAGCTAGAAGACGAAGATATTCTCAAGGATGTAACGTACCTTGACGAACTCCTGATCAAAAACAGCCTCAGCTTCGAAGTCAGGGGCTACATTTCCGACAAGCGGTGCCTCCTTGCTCTGAGATGAACATAGTGGAACACTGTCAAAATGGCAGGATACTTTCGAGAAAATTGAGGACGAAAGCAGCAAACACATTCAGTGACTCCAAAGACGTATAAAACGTGATGACAATTTCCGTGATACTCCGAGATAAACAATGTCATCTCCGAAACGTGCGTATTCCGATAACCCTGGTTCCAGAGCTACATTCCTCTGTGAATTCAACCTTCCAGCTCGAAATTCCCGGAATAGAAAGGGCCAGTATTTAGTTACAGTCGAACGTAGAGATATAACATGGACGTTTCGGAAAATAGAATCTCCTACATTATAAGTGCACAGACACTAACGCGAACGAGCGGACAATTTAGAAGATAAAGGGCGATAATCGCTAGACGGCTTTGTGGAGGGATAAGGGAAAATGCCACAAGTCGGTGCATTGAAAGCAATCATGGGCACATTCGTCTCATCGGTCGACCAATGAGCTCGATGCTCCTACCTAAGGGTCATGGCACTCTCATCGCAATTTACATGATTACAGCTAACACACAGACAGATCATCGAAGTGAAGGCAATGTAGCAAAATCTTACCGCAGACACGACGAATCTCCTAGCAGACTGTGACAGCGAGACTCCGGTGACAGGCTTGCAGAACGCAGATGTTGATCGGGTCGCCAACCGGGCGCCAAACGACTTGTTGAGACCATCGAAAGACCTGGGGATGGCGACGGAAGGAGCGGCGGTCGAGGAAGAGGCAGTGGTAGCGGCCACGGAAGCGAGAGGAAGAGCGACCGCAGACCTTGCTGCACATGCGGTTGCCATCTTCGCTGCCTTTCGCTGGACAGTGAAGGAGGGATGGGGCGCAGACGAGGAAAGAAATCACAGAATGAATGATCTTCAAGAGCCCGAGGGCAGAGACGTATCCTCGCTGCTCTGCCAGTGGACGAACGGGATGGCCGAAGGGATTAGGCAGCGAGCGATGGCCCGAGGCCCACTGCCGAGTGGGCAAACCGTGCGCGCAACCGCGCCCTCTCGGGCCCTCGTGACAGCATCCCCGCGGTTCAGTCTTCCCTCCGCAGTCGGACATTAGGTGGTGGACCCAACCACCTTCGCGGATGGCGTTCCTTTAGAACTCTCTCCGGTCTCGACAAGCCTTCGCATATCTCGATAATCGAGCAAAATAAAAAGTTCGCCGATAATCGAGATTTTTAGAGTCGTCGAATGCGTGTTTGCCAGAACCGTCTACACCATTAATCTTCGAGGGAGGCCGCCTGCGTGACGAGGTTCACGAAAGAAAAAGAATTCTGGATTTCGCAAATTATCCCTTCGCCGGGGTGCAAGATAGGCAAGCCGCGTGCGGGCTGATATCTTTTATCTTTACTACGAAAGTCGGACAACCACGTTCCGGCAGATGCGCCAGAATCTGCCGGAACATGCGGCGACCACGTGCGGTGCATCGTCCGCGCGAAGTGTCGAGAGGAGCGGAGCACGAGGGAGAATCCACGGCTTCGATTCGTGCGCCTCGTATCCACGGTCCTGGACCAAACCCGCTCACGGCTCTCGATCGAGAGGATTGCGCGCAACCACGCAGTTCAAAGTAGACGCAGCGCGGTATGAGATGAGTCTGGCTCTGGGGCGTCTGGGGCGTCGACCGGAATCAGACAAAGCGGAGGCAGCACATCCGAGTCGACCAATCCGAAGCTCCGGACGAGCAGCTTCGCTATCGGACGGCGCGATGGTTCGCGCAATTCATCTGCCCACTGCCACTTTTGGACCACATATACCTTACCGCTCTATCGGTTCTATCGGCTCCATGCTCTTCGTTGAACGGCCCCCACCCTAAACGAGCGTCTGATGGCCTGCTGAAGTTCACATCATCTCGGTTCTGCGCCTTCCCTCGTGTTAGCTGGATGGCTGGATGGGCACGAAGAAGGCGAGGGCAGAGCGCTCCGTCGAGCATGTCGACGATCGAGCAAGAAGTCACGAAGCTCGTCTCCCGGGGGCTTGTTACTCGGTGGTTAATCTAGTAACGGAAGCAGGCAAGGCAGCCGACAATTTCAGTGGCTGAGGATTTTAGATGGAAAATGCTGCATGGCACGAATTTGTGGGGGCACTCGCTCCGTACAAAACGCCGGGATAACATTGTCAGAGGAAAAGACGAGGTACATTACAGTGTCACACTGCGTTGATCTCCGATCGAGCGCACGGAAGGAAGAACTTTCTTTGGAGAAACGTTCCATCGTTGCGGAGCTAGCATGAGCCCAGAGCGATTCTACGAGAAAGTAGTCCAGGTTGTTTCTTCCGAACTAACTCGGCTTCCGCAGCATTCGCGAAGTTACACTTTGAAGTTACACTTGGTGACAGCGGTCTGCCTTTCTGGTTCTGGCATCAGCAATAGGTGACGTTTTCGAAAGTGGTTCTGTCGTTGCCGAGGGTGTCTGGACTGTCGACATCTAAGTGTTGGTTCGGGTATACGTACGTCTCGTTAAATCCGAAAGAACCTGTGAAATCAGTCAGAGAAAGAATGGAGAATGCTCACATTGTGCTTTCAAGAACACGACCTTCATTAGACTGCTCTGCACCCGTTCCCAGATAACATCTCAAAGAATGTCGATGTGCTTAAAGTTGCAGCTCCAGCCTCCCTGCTCGTAATGTTCTATCTAATAACGAGATTAACTCTAAACGTTCGCGCTGCGTGAACGTGTGCTCTGAAGAACCCGCTATTTTCGCCCGCTAAGACTATCCTGTCCTGTATATTTCATTGGCCCAGGTACAGTCAGACGCTCTGTCGCGCACAACAGTTTCCATCGCTCACGATAAAGAACTTGTGGACTGAGAGGCTTGAGAAGGTGGAACCTACTGTCAATCAAACTTGAGCATCAGTTCAGCAACAGCTGAATCTATGGATGGGTACCGGCTGTAGAAGGTGCATTGCGAGAGGATCCGAGGCTTTTGCTTCGTCGTAGAGATCATCGTGAACAAGAGGAACACAAACATCACTCACAGAGACGAACTTCTTACACGTAGCACCTTCTTGGTACGACTCGTGACTAGGTACACCATGTAGCATAAGATAGGGCCGACAGTCGCGGTTTAATATGCTAGAAGCCATTACAATTCAACGGAAAGTATACTTAGGACTAGGTATGCACGGCCGGACACTTGATAGGTACCTGAGAGCCGGACAAAGACGAGAGTCTCACGCACAAATCCCGAATTTCATTGCTGGGAGCCGGCGGCTTAGCCATTTCATCCACACTCAGAGTAGCGGACTGCCCTATGGTGTTGCTGAGACTTCTTCTAGCGTCCGTAACACTCTCGACGGATCTCAGCTCGTTCTTCTTATTCTTGATGTGTCGGAGAGGACGTAAACGAACTGCAACGCAGTAGGACCATGCACGTCGAGACTCGAGAGGAAGTGGCTTATGAAGAAGTTCAGCAGGCGTAGTAGAAGCAAGCCAAGAAAGCAAGGCATTTACGTCAAGAAGAAAATTGTCGTGGCAATGAATGCAAGTGATGGACAGGCCCTCTTCAAGCAGCCGCCGGAGACCTGCCCGTGAACGGACCTCTGTGACCGTCAGCCCGCCATTACCGACCCATCATTCCGGCCGGCCGTCACCTCGCTGCCGCAGTTCAACATGACGCATGTGAACACAAACCTCACTGAAACCTTCCCATCGTTGATCTATCCACTCGCTCCCTTTCATACCGACACCGGATTCGACCCTCGCGTTGGTTCGTCATTTCTCGCCATGGAATTGGAACAAGTCCGCTAATCCTACCCAATCCGCTCAGAAGTGAGCAATTGTGTTTCATCCATAGTTGTCTCACTCGTACTAAAATTGCTCGTTTAGTCTTTTGCCACTTCGCCACGTATTTGCGTGCTCAAATCCCATTCTACAATGATGCGTCTTCTCCCCGGATGTGTTCTAGTATGGGACCAATTGCAAAAGATGTAATTACTACAGATAGATTTCATTAGCCTGTACAAGGATATAAGACTATGTGTAACCATTATATTAGATTCAAATAGTATCACAATGAAATACATAGACTATACCAACTAAGAGATACCAAACTTCCGCCAACCCTAGTAGCATGTAATGATGCATCGTTTACCAATGTGAAGATGTTTTCATTTTCATTTTCATTTTCTGTTTTCATTTTTCTACAAACAACGATGAAATATACAGGCCTTAGAGTTTGATAGCTTATAAATCATAGTACGGTAGGCTTCATGCAATCTCAAAAAGAAAACTACATCAATTATCAATGTATCTTCTACAGTGAAATAAAGAAAATACGAAGCCAGGAACAACTTGAAGTTCAAAGCAACACTGAAATTAGATTATTCCTTCACAATGCATTTTAGAGAAAAGCTTTTCTATTCCCAATATCTATACTTTGAATATAAAATTATTAAAATCACAGGAGAATATTTGTAATACATTTTGAAATTGCAATTAACATAGTAAATAGTCGTTAGGATTTGAAATTATCAAGTGAGTCTTGAAAGTCTGAAATGTATAGTCTGATAAGTTTTGATTATAAAATTGGAACTAATTTTTATATATTGAAAATAATAATAATTAATAAGTGTTAAAATATAAATCAAGTCTCGAGTTAGTTCTAGGGTAAGTCACCATAATTAGGTTTGATCTTAAGATTTCAAGTTTAGGGTTACCTAAGACTTAAACTTGAAACCCAAGTATATACACAGGAGGTGTGTCTCGTCCATAACAATAGAATCAACTTATATCTTATAAATCTTTAGAGTAAAGTAATAGTTGTTGTTCCCGTGGAAGGAGACCAAACTCTAATGATCTTTGTTTTTGCCTTAACACAATCTTATTTTTAATTTAATAATAATATGATCAGAAAAAAATTGCCTTTGATTTTTGAAATACGTATAATTTCTATTTTTAAACACATTTTAAATTAAATTTTTTTTTTATTTTTCACATATAACATTAATAAATTACTTTAAATTCAGGGAAAAATTGAAATTTATTTCATACATGAATTTTTGGTTTTTACTTCTTATTCAAGATGTTAGTTTTGAATTAAATTTGATTAACAAAATTATGTCAAGGATGAATTAATGAACATGAAATGCAATAGATTTAAGTATAAAATTATAAATTTTATATTATATGCTGGAAAAGAACCTTGTGAACTTTCATGTTTAGAAAAGAAAAAGCTCGCTTTATAAATTCAATAAATAGTTATGCAACATGTGTGAAACAAGTTGCGTAGAGTCTAAAATGTTACAATATATGATCGTATAAAAATAAATAAAATAGTGAGCAAATTTGCATAATAAAAATAGGATTCTAGATAAAAAATTATGCTAAAATTTAGAAGTAAAATAACAAATTTCATTGATAAATACAATTAGTTAGTCAAATGTATCAATTCATAATTTTATATGTGAAAAAATTATGAAAAGCTAATTTTTTATATATCAATATAGATTTTTTTAATCAAATTTTATCCAAGTATATACATAAAAGTCAATGTATCTGTATTCAATGCTATATTAGCATTTACCATTTACAAAATCTTATGTAAAACTCTATTGACTTTTGCAAGATCGAATTTGTTTATTAAATTATTTACTTATGTCAAGGTATTTTTTTTTAAATTTCATATTTAGTCACGTTACAGATTATAAATTTTTTCATTTTACTTTAAAGATAGTGTGTTGTTCACGTTAGGTTACAGTTTTCTTTTATTTGCAGTAAACCTCAATCTATTTAATATACAGAGTGTAACATTGATGATAATCTACTTTCTTATCCTGCCATGATCATAAACCTTCAAAAAATTTATGATAGTGAAAATCAAAATTTTTTTCTTTTGTAGATCAAATTTAAGAATTTAAGAGATTAAGAAACTAATTTATCATTTGAATGTTAGCGTTGTGAAACTGTGTACATGCCCAATATATGCCAATGTATTGAAGTTATTAAATTTCATTTTTTTCCTTTTAATTTCAAAAGGTTTCATTTCTAAGATTTAACAAATTCAATATTTTACTCTTTAAATTTTGAATATTTTTTCCATAATAATTTAAATCATAAATTCAGCTTTCACTGTATGATATTAACTTCAAGCTAATCAGTTTATTTTGAAAATATAAACAAATCTAAAAATAATATCTGCATGATAAATTTGTTCATCGATTAGCCGCATTCTATGACGAAATTTTTGTGGCATAGGTTTTAAACGTTGCAAACTACATTAAAAGCAAGTTTTTTATTTTTAAAAAGTAAATTAAAATACTTATAGAATATCAATGAAAATCAACTTAATAGTCTAAGCAATACGAAAAGTTAAAATATAATTATGAAATATATTCTGTATTTTTCTTAGCTTCATCATAATAACCCTCTCACTTGAGATCTCTTCAAGATTTTCCCGCCTCGGCGCTCTTGCCACTGCAAACATAGCCAAATCAAGAAAGCGGTTATCTTAAGTCTAATCAAATGCAGCAAAAGTTTTAGTTAAATCTCTTAATGTATATATTTTATTAGCAATAGACATGCAAAACTATTTACATTTTAATAAAATTTGCAATGAATATAACTTGAATCATGATAACATAGTATCACTTTTAATTCTATTATGACATAATTTTAGATGCATTGCGTTGTAAGATGACAGTCTATGAATCAAGTACAAAAAGTTGAACTGCTTCATACAAAATGTATGTTGTGTACAATAATAACATTTTGCATCATGATAGATAATAATGGTTCTAATTCAGAAATTTAGTGGACGTCAGTAATAAATTAACAAGGTGTATAGAGTGTATTTGCTTGCGGCACAGAATTTTAACAATATAGAGATCTAACATAAATTGATATTGCTTGTATTATGTGTTGGAGTTCCACAATGTAATAACACTTCACTGAAAATCAATTTCGATAAGATTCATGATCATTATCATAACAGTTTTGTCCCGTTCTAATTTTTAGAGTGTTCTCATTCACTTTTTCGTTTTTAAGCGTGATTATATTGTTGCAAAAGAAATTAATAAAGGAGATCTGATCATGGTTTCTGTACATATATATATTTCAGCTGGATGTGGTGTCTTAAATCGAGATTGTGATGGGCGAACGAATTTGTTCACTAGAAGTTCACATTGAAATTTGACCCAGATGGACTGATTTTGGTCTCTGTCCATAGTACAAATCCGTATAATAATAATACCGCTGTCAATTAGACACCATACTCATCTACTGAAGCATATCCTACGTACACATTAGCTAGCTGCCATGTAAAAACCAAATCCATCGAGAGATAGTGCAACCGTACAACATCAACTCCTCTTTAGATGTCTGGAATGCATAACACGGGGCATGAGTGGGGAATACATTCAGTTGTGTCTATGGCTCCTCATTCATGTTACGTTCTGCAATTGCTTCAATGTTCTCCAAGGTTTCATGCTACTTCGCTCGCGGATTCTGAAGAAACATAAACACAACTGTTGAAGAGGCCACAACAGAATCCTCAAGGACATACTTCCGAACCACTAATTCGCTCTAGATCGAAGCACATATTTTCCAAATGCTAAGAACTAAAAACTAGAGGAACTGGGAAGTTTCAAGTTTCAAACTGCATTGGTCTTGAGTTAAATACAACAATGCGGGTTCAAAATTAGCTCGTTTGCATCCTTGAAGTTTCCAGGACAATCAAGTCGATATCTACGCAGCTGCTACTGTTGTTTGGTGCTCCTCTCTCCCCCATTCACCTGGCCACCATTTCGGTCGTATAGCTTTCAATCGAACATTCTTGGCGGGAATATCCAGTTTTAGCTTGCTTGTTGCTCGTTGAGCTGCATCCAACCTTATAAGGGCAAACCCGCGAGGTCCTAGAACTGTTGTGACTTTTCCAACCTTCTTGTTGGATTCTGCATCCAGAATATCTACCCCAGGCACCACCTCTTGTTGAGCTTCTGCATAGTCGCATGGTAGTAAGAAGAAACCTTGTCAATTCTCCCCCTCTCGCTAGCGCATATTACTTCTTGCGTGGCAAAGTACCAGGGTAATAGAGTGCTTTCAACTGCTGTCTATGTCCGCAAGAGATATGAGGAAATTTCAAGTTTGACAAAGTTGAGATGAACTAAATCTGGCGTTCTCGCTTCATTGGAAAATATCATTATCATGGACGGTATTTAGTCTGTGGATCCAGGGCTGTTTAGCTATAGATATACTCTACAGCATCCTACAAGACAAACCACATAAAGTCATCGTTTAACTCACCTGATCCATCTTCGAAGACAAAGTTCACAGGCATCAATCGTTTCCGAATAACCCCACGGTGATGAGTTCGTGCTACAAGTTCTTGACCTATGTAGCACCCTTTCTCAAAACTGATGGCATTCAGTCCTGCCAGATTATACTCCAGAGGAATAGCTTCTCCTGCACCAACGTCCAAGGTTTTGTAATCACTGTAAGACACAGTCTGCGGACATCCCTTAAAACTGCTTGGAAAAGAGAAGAAGAATTAGATGATGAAAAATTCAATAAAAAATTCCGTGATTTATAGATAACTGAAGCATAGTGGGGCCAGACCTTTTGGAATCTCTGTTGATCCTTCTGCAACCCCTTGCTCTAGTCTCCAAAGTAGGTAATACTCATCACCAACAATTTGATCTGCTGTCACCAACGGTGCTGATGCCCACATCAAAATATAATGTTATGTATTAGCTGACTTTTGTGCGCAACATTCACAAAGATCGTGTTCAAATTAACCTTTCTTGTCAGAGAAAAGAGTGCAAAGGTCGGATGAAATACTCACGGACATCATTGCCAGGGAATACACCCCTATGTCCTAGTTCTCGCAAACGTGGATCCGCGTACCATCGCCAACCCTGTGCATCGCTCTCCGCTGTCTGTTGTGCTGATCTGTCCGTGCCACCAGACCAACCCAGAGACCCGGCCTCTGAACCATTATCCGCAGAAGCACCTCCAAACCTTTGCCAAACTTTGAAGTCAGTCGAAAGGTTTTCAATATTCACTTTGGCTCGCAGTCTGTGCCTGCAAATGACACAAAATAGTTGAGCTTTGCAAGAATAGCGTCATTCTGTCTTCGTTCGTCCTGTCCATTTCTGTCGCTCGACACTCCTCTCCTAACAGTCTCAACTGCCCACAGAGAAAATTGCTGCTATAAGGTCGTTGATCCTATAGACAACTTATGAAAACTTATTACTTTTGATCATACCATGACTCCTCTGCTCGTATCAATCCTTCTAATGAGGCACTAAATGCCTGCCGAAAGAAGACCCAAGATCGAAAAAACGATGCTTCTTTCCTTGAGTTGTAAGAAACCACAAGCTGTAAAGGTCTAGTCCTCCGGATCTACTCCACCTAGCATTTCATGAACCGAGAAATGAATTGCAAGGCGAGAGCCCTTTGCTTTATTGCTCTCAAATGTTGGATGTGAGGACCATCTCAGAAGTCTACGTCATGCACCAAATCTGCTCTACCTGCTCGTAGGCCTGCTTTGAAACTTATGACTTGGTAATGGTCATTGCGCAACGAACGGTTTTTTGACTGCTGTCTTTTACAGATTTAGACTGTTCGCAGGGCATTAATATGCACTCAATAAGAGTTTCCTTTTCGAAGGGAGGGTCAAGGAAGTTTCATGAGAGGGTTTTGGTGTGAAGTGGTGCCTACACCACTTGACAGCTCCACAAGTGAACCCCTGAACCTCTTCTCCCACAATGAACTGGAAGTGAAAGACCTTACAGACCTCTTAAGATGAGATATGATGTTATCAACTTCAGCCGTATCCACATCAGCTACAAGCGCCGGCACACCATTGCCCTCAGTGTCGGGGCCAGATCCCGAACGATCGAGACGTTCAACTGATTGAGTGGGCCTATAGAGGACCAAATCGTAGAGAAATCTGCCTTGTGGACTTAGAAGAGCTGTGTACATGGGAGGCGTCATGGCAACTGGTGTCGTCGGAGAAGGTGTTGGAACTGCGGACTCAGGTATTCCTTCGAGTCTGTGGACATCATTTGTAATGAGGCCCTGCAAGAACTTGAAGACATCTGGCCCATCCAGGCTGATCACACCTCTGCTCTTCACCTGCCATGAACCAGGAGAACATGAGTATATGAGCAACACTAGCCCAGTATACAGGCAAAGCTTTGCGTGGCTAGGAAACCCAGACTCCCATCTACTCTTTCCACTCGCTCTGGATTGGTTAGCTGCAAACAGAAAAAGCACATAACCCTAGGTGATGCTTCATGCAATCGACTGGAAGTAGGGAAATAGGGAATATCGCTAATGGCAAACAGTTTCGCATCGACATGCGATATGCACTCTGGGATATGGCAAGGCAGTAAGTATGATAGTACAATTCACGAACTGATGATATAAATACTCTTAAAGCGATGCAGGAGAGCAAAAATTCCCAATGGCAACCAATAAACCCTGCGACGCTAAATGTCACAAACAGAGGAGAGTAGCTATTGCGTGGAGCATTTTTCCTTGCATACAGATGCATACTCACTGCATCTTCAGACCTGAGTGAAATAGGGTCCGCGGTCGCTTAAGGGTGTGCGGCCTGAAGAGGAGGCCTCGGAAGTCTCACTCCTGGCTCCCGCTGCTCGAGTATGAAGCGACACATTTTTCTCATTGACGAAGGTCGAGGCCTCCAAAAACGCGTGACAAGAAGCCCGGTACCCGCATAAGATTCTGCATGTGGGTCGCTTCCGAATCAGCTGCAGTCCAGAAGAGGCGGCTCTGTAGCTGGTCATGATTTACAGAGCGGTCATCAAGCGACCGATGACCCACTCGGGAAATTCTCGCAAAGTCCTCGTCTGATGCACTAAACCGAGGACCACAAGAAAATTCTTGCGATCCGCAGAAGCCAATCACGGCTGCAGGAAATTCAGATTCGTTTAAGAACTCCGAATCCGCCGAGCAGTTCTTTCGACTCTTTCAGACTGTCTTCTGATCGGCGTCGGTGGATGGCGACAATGCTACTGATGAGAAGCGAAGATCGACACCAAGCTGGCCCCGGAAATTTGAGCGTGAGCACGCCACAGCAGACCTGCATCGTTCTGCTGCTGCCTTCGTTCCCGACGTGTCTTCGTTCGTGGCCTTCTCGATGCTGATGTGCACAAGCAAGGACACGGCCACGTGGTTTTCCATGGATCGATTCACTCACCAAAAGCCCTTCCAGACTGCAGTCACCATGCGGGCAAGCCTTTTCATATTTATCAACAAGGAGAAAAAGACCGAACCATGAAAGGCAATTGGTTTCAACACTCTGTAGTATGAAGATAGAAATAATGTCAACAAGACTACACGTGATTAAAAGCGAGTTCCTGTGGAAAGTGGGTTTCCGTGTAATAAATACATGATTAACCTTGCCAAATTCATTTCATATGGGGTTTAAGTGGTAGTGTTTATCTTTTTGTTTCATGATATCCGTCATTTGCCTCAACTGTACGTGTGTTTGAGTTATTGATGATTTAGAACAACAGTTTTTGTAGGAGAAGAATGAATAGTAATCAAAGATTGTCATGTAGTGATGTATGGGAAACACTGACTGTGAAGAAGGTAGTGAGGCATCTATTCATATTTTGTGTGCTGAATGTGGCCACTTTGTGAATCGCAATGATAGGTTTGAAATAAAGTTGCGATATTTTTTAAAAAAATTTCAAATGTGCTCAAATTGTTTTCCACAGAACTGTAGTGTTTTATAAGATGCAACAGCGCAGGAGATGATGTAAGTCAGTCTCAGTCTATAATAATTTTTTAATGTGATTGGAAGAGTGGGCGAATGTTTTAGCAACACAATGATGTATGTGTAATTTGTTTTAGAAAATAGTAATCAATATTTTGCAAAGCACGTTTGTTCATGTTATGCAGATTCTTATAAGCTTGGCATGCAAGAATCATCAATACACAGTTCGGTATATAGTATATACCTTCCTAAAATATATAAGTGTATATATAAGTGTATATACTATATACACTATCTGTTCAGTGTGTTTAAGGTATCCAGGTTCTTAAATACTTGCATGCAAGAATTGTCCATAAGCCATTCGGATATAAATGTTCGGAACTGTTCAGAACCAATCCATAATTCCCGCCGATGCAAGGAGTAGATGTGTACTACGCTATCGGGATTGCTGTGCGATGGACACTAACAGGTTAAACCACAAATTTCTTAAGATGGATTGATTATGGAAGTTTGGGACTTCTGGTTCATACGACCTATAGAGTGGTCGATGTTCCAAGCCTGAGTATTTTTGAAATAAAGAGAGTGGATGTAACGTGTAGTGGAAGATCACGGCCAAGTGTAAGAGAAAATGAACGAACTATGGATGCCCTATTTCAACATCTTAGTGAAAGAATCGACATCAAAATACTGATTTCCAGACTCGAGTTTCCAACATGTACAGATTATTGAACCACTTTCAGCTTACATAAAGCGAATAGATTTGGAATCTTTGGGTAAACGAACCGAATCCACCTGGAAGCTCAGTATGGCCTGATTGGGCAACAACCTCAACCTCAGCAACAATCTAACAACGACATGGATCGGACAGAGCCAATCCAACCGAGTTCAACATTCCATCGTGTGCACGGAGGACTCGAAGTTCTTACAGAATACGACTGCAAGGCACGCAGTGAATCGCGGCCGACGTCTCCGACTTAGTCTTCGTGGAGAACGTATCGTAGAGACGTCGGCTATGAAGTGATTGATTCATTACGTAAAACAGCGTACAGCATATGGTCGGCACAGAACTAGCCCATTCGCTATGGCAAGTCCACGACAGAAGAAGGCAGGAGCATGGACTGCACTCGAGGTGGCCGTATGGCAGGCTTTGAAAGAGGCAAAAATGGGGCAAAATGAGATGAGATGAGAGGGGAGAGGAGAGGCCTAGAGTACAAACAGCGCCATTCCATTCCATTCCATTCCATTCCCTGGAGGTTTGCTCTTCGAGTATTCCTCCCGAGGGGCACAGAAGTTGATGGAAGGACTAGCGACGACACACCAAACCACCGGACCTCGCGTTTCCGCAGGACGCAGATGCAGCTTGCCGGATGGTCTGGCCCGAAGGGGTGGCACCGAACTTCGACACGGCGCAGTCGGTCTGGAACAGCGCCGAGGAGACGTAGCTCTCGTCGCCGCCCATGATTGGCATCGGGACGCCCACCTTCACGGGGCTCTTGTAGCCTGGGACGTACGTCTGACCCAGGATGCCATTCACTTCTGTCGAGAGGTTGAAGAACTGGAAGTTGAGCTCCAAGTGCGCGAAGCAGTTCTCGGCCGTGATGTCGTAATTGTGTATGCGCGACTCCTGCTTCGTTATAGGTACGACATGCGCCTCCAACTTGAAGCTCCCTTTAACCTACACGCACGCACCCATTTTCTCTTCCATGTCAGCCACCTCCCTCACGTCCCTCTTTGTTACCAACGAAACCAGAAAAAAATTTTCACAAACTCGATTGCTCTGACGTAACAGAGTGATCGACCCATGGTTGCTGTTCTAGCCTAAACCCGGGAGTTGGTTCGACAACAGACGGTGAAGTGAGTGAGATGGCCCATCTCAGCTCGAGATTAGCACAAATAAATTCCACAAATCACCACGGTCCCATCAGCGCCCATCGATGTTGTCGAGGTGGCTGCGTCGTCATGGGTTCCGATAGGCAGTTGAGAGTAGCCAATCGTGGACAGCATGATAGAATGTTGAGACGACGGGTTTGGTTTGATTTTACATCAACTCACTTGCATAGCACGAATTTGGATGCGACAGAACGAAGACGAGAAACGAGGAGTCGACGATGAGCAAGGAGTGGTGTCAGGTTGATTAGTTGAGTGTAAGTGAGGAACCTGCTAAGAATCAGTTGAGTGCTATTCTGGCAGAGAACTGAGGCATCGACCCTGCAACAGGCATATTGATTGGAAGCAATGGCATATCACTGACCGGAGAAGAGCACCAACTACGTGCGCTGTATTGGGCTCCGGTGGCACACAAAGCGAGAAAGCTGATTGAAAGGATCAATGTCCAGCGAATAGAAAACGAGAAAGGGAAACAAATAACGATCTTTACTTCTACAGAATTTCCACAATTTAAGCTAGGGTTAGCCGGAGTGCTTTGAAGGTTGAAGTAGATGAAGGTTTCCTCGCAAAAGTTTTCCGAGCAGTCAGAGAAAGAAACGCCAGATGATACGAACATGCTTCTCTAGGGATCGTGGATTGTTAATGAGAGGAATCGAATTGCACGCAAGGTGTTGATCCAGTAGAAAGCTGCGCATCTTCTCTTGAGGAATTTTGAGATATAGTAGAGAAATAGCTACTTCCAAGGTATGGTTCAACTGGTCTACGAGAATCAGTGCTAGGCAGGTAAATGTGTCCGACATCGAGTTGGAGCAAAATGGACGAAATTCAATCGTGCCCGCGAGAGAGAGAGAGAGAGAGAGAGAGAGAGAGAGAGAGAGAGAGAGAGAGAGAGAGAGAGAGAGAGAGAGAGAGAGAGAGAGAGAGAGAGAGAGGGTTGTCACCTCGACCGTAACAGCATTCTTTCCTTCGACACGAACAATTTGAAGCCCGGCATCTGGAAACTCGAGAGTGGCATTGACTCGGGGCGGCAACAGGAGAGGCTGGCCGTCGAAGGACAGGGAGAGAGCATCGACGTGATTGTCCCAGGTGCCGACGGTCTGAGCTCCGATGTACAGAGTGCGAGAGCCGAACATGATTCCCAGAGACTGGACCCACGTGAAATCGCGGGTCATGCCCGAGCCCCTCTTGCCGATGAAGTGCGCATTGATGTGCAGGGCCGGGTCCGACACGATGCAGAAGTCTTTGTCCTTCTCGCCGTGGAAGTAGAACATCACTCCGTCGCCGCCGATGAAGCGCGGGTCCTGGCAGACTGCGCCGGGCTTGTCACAAGCTGTAGTAACATCATGCACCAGCTGTGAAGGTATCAGCGGCAGCGTCTGTATACATCCGTCAATCAATCACTGACACACTCGCTGCTGCATTTCCTTTAACAAATGGAAGGAAGCAAACAACTCAAAAACGTCTGAAATTTCCAAGGCAGCCATTGCCGCCTCACTCCCACCCGAGAGCGAGGCATTTCTTCGTGTGCTCCTGCTATTCTGCCCTCGAGCTATGCCCACAAAATCATCATCTCACAATCGACTTCTTCCTGGCTCTAACTCGGTCCTCCGTCCGAGCTTTTCCCTTGAACCATGCCGTCTCCAGCAGGCTCTGGGTGGCCCGACCCCAACAACGAGGAAGACCTTGCTCTGAGAGTGATGCTTTAAAATTTGGGGGAAAGCTTGCACTGTCCAGTGCAGGTATACACACCTTGCCTTCGGGTTCAGACAATCAATGTATAGTGTGATTGCTAGTGGAAGTCATGAAGGGGACTCTGGCGTTGAAAGAGTCCAGGATTCTCTCCTGACAGAAGGCACATTGGGATGGCAGTGGACATTTCATCCTATACTTCTCATGCTTCCGTGAGCTTATGTAAGGAGCTCGTCAATTTCGAAAATTGAGATGCGGAAACGTCACCGCAAAGAGTGGCCGTGCACTGAAATTCAGACAGGGATTTTGCGATTGCCACGAACAGAGTCACAATCGAACCAGACGAGGAAGGACCTTTTGCCTGAGAGAAGATGACGGAGAAGAGGAATAAGGAAGTCACTCACCGCATTGGACGTTGCAAGTGGTACAGTCCACCTCGCACCACTGGGCGCAGTTGGCCGGGCAAGTCTGCAGCTGACCATAGCATTGCGAGTATGGATTCGAGCAGCTGACACTCCAGGCACCCGTCTTCGAGACCAACGCAGCTAAGAGGACGAAAACCGTGCTCAGGACGACCGCCGCCATCTTTCCAAATCCCAGTAGAGTTCGTCAGTCCTCACCCAGCGAGCCTCGAAGCCGACCGAGCTGACCTGCCGCTGCTGGTGCTTGCTCAAGACTCAGAGCGTACGACAGACCCTGCAGCTGGTTTCGACGATATCACTCGGAAACAAAAAAAGCGTCGATTTCTCTCATTCTCCTCTGCAAGCTGCTCTTCCTCGTCCTCGTTCTCCAAGCGAGTAATCAATCACTTCCGGCCCTCCGCGTCCTTCGTTCAGCTCAGCTCGACCGACACTTCTCTACCCAGGAAACACTGAAACCAGCTCAGACAATCTCAAGTACAGTTCTGGCCGCTGTCGGCCAGCGCAGACTTGTGTTTCCGACAGGATGCCCACTTCTTCGGCGATCGACTCGATTGAGGCAGGCAGGCAGGCAGCAGTGAAGCAGGATGGCCCTCGAGCCTCTCTCAAATGTCTCGCGTCCACAATGCACGAGGAACACTTGCTCTGTCTTGTACAGGTATGCAATGCATGCCCTCGTACGTACTCACTCGTTCACTTACTACGCTAGCTTTTCCGTTCATAATGCAAATCATGGGAACGCAGTTCTGGGGCGTCGCCACCTCAGCTCGTGCTGGACTGCACTGTGGCCCTTTTATTTTCGAGCAGTTGGGCGCGACACGGTTCACAAGAACGAACGACAGCAGTAGCTCGCGGGAGGCGGAGGCGGAGGCGGAGGCTGCGTTGGCAAACCTCGTCGCTCAGTAACTTCGGTTTATGAGTCGGTAGTCGGGGACAGCTCTTACGCTGTCGCGACTAGTAAAAGAGCCATTTGTTGCATATCGGTAGACGAGGATCCCCACGACCACGGGAATCCACCGCGGTAGCACGATGCAGAAATTCCAACCACGTGGCGTCTCGCTACGTAGTTGGAACTCTCGTGTTCGGAGCGGACGAAGTCAACGCAACGACGTTGGAGTAAATGAAGACAACGAGGGTCGCGGACTCTCGGTGACCAGCCGAGGCGACGGATGTCAGAGGGAACAGAGAAGGCTGACGAACCGACGGTGCCACGGACGTCTGGGAGCGAGGGACGGCGCGGATGGACCGAGCAAGATAGCCATTCGCGAAATGATTAATGCAGCGTACAGGTCGCAATGTGCACTTCAAGGCAGTTCAATGTGTGCCATTAAAGCTGCTCCTGCTCCATTCGTGCCTTCCTGCGCTGCAACAGCTCAGGAACTCCGTTGGAGTCCGTCCCTCCCCGTCTTCCCACTGTACAATACGTTTCCACTGTTCCTCCATGGGACTCTTACTGTATACGTATTTTTGACGACGACGAAGACAACTGTACGTCGAATTCTTGTCCACTTTCTTCCCTACAGTGCATGGAGTACCGGCTGGGTCTCCTCATTTATCATCGCATCATTGCCCCCTTTTGCCAACTATGGTCGTCGCAAATTCTGACAAGATGGGAGTGGATCTTTCTTTCATTTCTTTGGTAGCAATTCAAAAATTCTTATTGGGGTGGATAAATTAGAATATATTCATATTGATGGGAGTGGATCTTTCATAGAATATTTTATCCACCCCAATAAGAATTCTTGAATTGCTACCATATAACTAAGATCCCTCAATAGTTAAAAGTTAACGAAATAAACACAACACTACAAAATATTATCAACGCTATACCGATTTCAACACGGTGATCTTTTAATAATAAGAATTGAAATAGATCTTGGTTAACTCTAGCTGGTTTTATTTTGATTAGTTAGTCCGATTAGCTTGCCAATGCATTTGAGATTTGAAAAATAACTTTTACTGACACACTTACAGTTCAGTGAAAAAATTTTGTGTTTCCATGAATGCAGTATTTCTAAAAATGAATTATGGATTGTGTGCTTCACCATTTTGCGTTGATGTATCATTGAGATCTCTGATTGATATCAGAGCTTTGAGTACATCAACGTGGGCTAAGGTTGAATGTACATAAAAACTGCCACTCCTTTGACAACGATAAAGAACTCTGCACATGTCTTTGAATGAAACTAGTTAGTAGATACTTAAAAGAAGGAAGTTATCAACGCCGTTGTTTTTTTCTTTATAGCATTACGCAATTTTCCACTTTGATATCTGCGTACATTCGCAAATGCTTGAAATTAACGCGTAATTTTATGCTCACATCTTTTGATCCGTTGTGAAATAGTAATTTTGGTAGTTGACTCATTCTCGGAAGTTAGGTCACATATATCTTATTCCTTTGTATAGATCAAGTGGACACACATTATGGCAAGACCAAGTCAGAAACAATGTTCTTGTTTTGCGATTGATTACATACATTTTGAAGCTATATCAATGAAAATGCAGTGGATCCGTAGTACCTGGCTGGAAAGATAAATGATAAGGTAGCATTCTTTTGATACGGAGAGTTGCTGAGTAAATTACTTGATGGGACCCCTTGGAGACACTACCCTCTTGAAGTCAACCAACAGGTTTCAATTTACCCCGTTGGACGGCCACCCTCAGCCATGTTCTTATAATCTACTGATTTGCTCTATAGAGTGGGGAGTGTCTGCCACTGTCGGCCGAAGTATTTTGGCGACTCCTTCGCGGCCATGTCTAAGAAAGCTACGGGCACCATGAGTCTGAACCGGGACTTCATCTTTCTACACAATATGACCCCAGATAGTACAGTACTGTAACATCGCTGACGGTGGGATTCCAGGGCCGTCGATGGGTCCCATCAGTTAAAATAAAACCTGTTGGGTCCATAAGTGTTTTAGTTTCCCCAGGTCCCATCAAGTAATTTACTCTAGAGTTGATTTATATTGTGACAAGTTAATCTCAGAATAAAATAGTAACATTAAAAGTATAGTAAAATCACACGAGAGGATATGATATAAAACGCATCTACGCGGTTCACCTGGACTTCATCCACGGTGGAGGAAAAACTTCGATAGAATGAAGTTCTCCGGACAAAACACCTAATGCCAACGGGTTTACATAGTGGCAGCTCACCTGATCACTAACTAGATATAGCTAACCAGGGATTAACTCAAAACCCGAGTTAAACCCTAAAACTTACTAGAGTTATGTAAAATTTTATGAGCGAAATTTTAAGAACGAACAAATAAAAATGCACAAAATATTCATATATACGCGGTTAGTCTTATCCAAGCTACATCCATAAAATGTAAAAACGTAAAAACATGTTGTTTTTCTGAAAACCTAAAATATTGTTTGAGTTGTAATATGTCTCTTCTACCGATATAATGGATAGAAAAAATCCTAAATCCAAGAAAGGTAATTTTAGGTAAATTGACTAAAATTAATTTTAACTTGAGTTTATACTAACAGTATTCTACTTCATTCATGTTGTGAAAAGAACATAGTATACTCCTTCCATAGTGCATATATTATTTTGCGGTAAGTATACAAGGAAATTTAAAATGGTATACTTTTTGAATTAAAGCTAATTAAAACTAAACTATATTTAGAAAGGTTATAAAATAAAAATAAATAGAGGTAAAAAAATTGCAAGTAAATTTTATTTGTATTCCTCATGCAAAATCTGCATAGTAGCACAATGTATCTTAAAATTTTCCAAAAAAATAAGTTTGACATTAGATTTATATTAGATTGAATTTATCATCAATATAGACTAGCTCATTCCTTTTTATTAGAAATTGCAATCTTGATATAAATTTATATAATGTCAATGTGTTTTATTTTTTTGCTCATTATTTGTTTTGCGAAACAATTTAACACACTCTGCCTATCAAAATAAAAATTAAGATTTTGCTACATATTTAGTTTTCATTTTGAACTAAATTATTCACTTTTGCAAAATAGATCTCCAATTAATACATTCATCATCAAGTGTAAACACATAGCTATTTGTGGATTTTTTTCCAAATCTTATCCATAATCAACATCAACATAGACTAGCAAGAATTTGACTTTGTTTAAAAATACATTAAACAAAATAAAATATTTTTTATTACACCTCATATATCTAAAAATTCCTTTCATTGCTTTTTATATTTAATGTGTACTTGTTCACCTTACTCATAGTTAAATCAAAATCAAATCTTGTGCAAATCATCAAACATATGAAGTTACTCATAACTTGTCATAGAGCTACTAATGATATCTTTATTTTTGAATGCCATCAGTTGTAAATCAACTGAAAAGTTTGAAATGTGCTGCCAAAGAGGTTCATCTTTCTTTAGAGTTTGTCATGTTAAATTTTCAAAGCGCACATTGAACATACTTGCTTTGATTCAACCATAGATTTTTCTTTTGCAAATTCCAATAAATAATCTTTTCTAATCTACTCATATCTTATCTAGTTAAATGTAAACTTTAGTTGTCTCTTGCATACTGATTTTCTTTATCAAAATCAGCATGTCATTCACAGAGATAGATACTAAAATAATAAAATTAATGACCTTATTATTAACGTTTTTTGTGTATTCATGGATCATACATACTCTGTGAAAATTTTTGTGCTTTCATGATACTATTAAATATTGCATTTTACAATTTAAGATTATTTCAATCTATATAATAATTTCAGCAATCTATACATCAATTTTTCTTGAAATTTTTCTTCATGTGATTTTTTTTCTAAATATTCACAAAAATTATTGTAATTATATCCATCAAATTCAAAAAAATTAAATATTGTAGCAAATACACATCTCAGTCGCATTGTAGCATGTTTTGTTACAATTAATAAAACTTTGTTTTAGTTCATACACTTTTCATGTGTGAAATCTCTAACCATCAACCAGGCTTTGAGTTTTTTCTTGTTTTCATCTGCTTGACTGTGATTAAGTTTGTAGACACACTTGCAATTAATCAAAGTTTGATTACCTTGAAAGCTCTATTAGCTCATAGGTTATGTTATTGATCAACCATTGCATCTCACACTTCACAAAAAAAAATCATTTAATCTTATTGACAAAATTTTAGTTATTCTATTGGAAGAATCATATCATTCATGATCAACACAATATTATAATCATCTTCAGCGCTAATATTGATCTTCAACAATGTTGAATCAATCCATAATTTATACTTTACTATCCCAATTTGATACTCTCTTGGTAGACAATTTTATTTGATCACTATTGTTTGATGCAAATATATGAGTCTCACAATAAATAACATATTCTTCTCATTTTTGCTCTTAAAAAATTTTGCTTCATTTGTATCAAAGCTCATTTTTATTGAGTCACATTATTAATCACACAACGAACAATCTTTTCAAACAACATTTGTAAAAGAAGATTTATCTTTGTCAGTACGAGAAGCTTGAAAAATCTTTATTTCTTTAACTAATATGTAGACTAAAAAAAACATATCAAAAGATTGTAACGTCAAAACACGCAAGTGACAGGAAACATGCGAGACAATATGTAACGTGATTCACCCCTTGAATTGACTATGTCCACCAAAAACACGCTGCAC